CTCACATTTGATCTCAGGGCCTTGTGCTTGGCAGGCTGGCAATCTTTCCACTTGAGCCATAACCCCAGCCCTGCTTTTCTTTTTTCTTTTTTGGAGGGGGGGGGTCCATCCAGTCGTGGGCCTGAACTCTGGGCCTGGGCATTGTCCCTCAGCTCTTCACCTCAAGGCTAGCACTCAACCACTTGAGCCACAGCCCCACTTCCGGCTTTTTTCTTTTTTTCTGCTTAGGTGGTGCTGAGGAATCAAACCCAGGGCCTCATGCATGCAAGGCAAGTGCTCTACCACTGAGCCACCTTCCCAGCCCCACTGCTTTTCTTTAAATGTTTTTTTAGTTGTGTCCAAAGCCCCTGATCAAGTTGACTTGAAGTCTTGGAGACTCTGGACCAATGTACAAAGTTTCTGTTGGATTTTTTTTTTTTTTTAATCAGTCATGGGAATTGAATGTGGGGTCTGGCTGCTGTTCCTGAGCTTTTTCACTCAAGGCTAGCACTCTTACCACATTGATCCACAGCACCACTTCCAGTTTTCTGGTGCTTAATTGGAGATAAGTCTCATGGACTTCCCTGCCCAGGCTGACTTTGAACCATGATCCCCAGACCTCAGCCTCCTGAGTAGGATTACAAGTGTGAACTGCTAGTGCCTGTTTTCTCCTCCTAAGGATGGGTTACTTTATTTTTTGGATTGTCTTATACATTCACTCAAAACTGGACTTAAAAAAATATTAGCAATTGAAGTCTCTGGATTTTCTTCTTAAAAGGTGGTTCTTGCTGGGCCCTGGTGGCTCATGCCTGTAATCCTAGCTACTCAGGATTCTGAGATATGAGGATCACAATTCAAAGCCTGCCTGGGCAGAAAAGTCCCTGTGAGACTATCTCCAATTAACCACCATGACCCCAGAAGGGGTGCTGTGGTTCAAAGCTGTAGAGCACTAACTTTGAGCAAAAATAGCCCAGAGAGAGTGCCCAGGCCCTGAGTTCAAGACTCATGACCAAAAAAAAAAAAAAAAAGATGGTTCTTGCTAGGTGCTGGTGGCACACACCTGTAAATTTAGCTACTCAGGAAGCTGAGACCAGAGGATCACAGTTCGAAGCCAGCCCAGGCAGAAAAGTCTCTCTCTCTAGAGCTTGGTGTACTGAGTTCAAGCCCCAGAACTGACATTTTCAAAAAAGGTCTTCATGCTTATTTAGTTTTTGGCACTGTGGGGTGTGAATTCAGTCTTAAGCTTGCTACGCAGGTGTTTTGCCACTTCAGCGATGTCCTCAGCACTTTTAGCTTTCATTATTTTCTAACAGGGTCTCATTGTTTACCCAGGCCATCAAAGCTGGGATGATAGGTACAAAAGTGCCCAGCTCTTTATTGGTTAAGATTGTATCTTGCAAATTTTTGCTCAGGCTAACCTCAAATCATAATCCTCCTTTACTTTTTTTTTTTGCCAATCCTGGGGCTTGAACTCTGGGGCCTGAGCACTGTCCCTAAGCTTCTTTTGCTCAAGTCTAATGCTCTACCACTTGAGCCACAGCGCCACTTCAGGCCTTTTCCGTGTACGTGATACTGAAGAATGGAATCCGGGGCTTCATGCATGCTAGGCAAACACTCTACCACTAAGCCACACTCCTGCACTCTCTCAAGTACCTGAAATTATAGGTGTGAACTAGTATGCCTGCTTATTAACAATTTGACTAAATCTGTAGACTGTTTAAATAGTATGCAGAAAATGTTTCCAACTTTCCTTTTGTCTTTAACTTGGTGTCACTGTGTGCCTTATGGTTAGCAAGATTTGAGCAGATACACCTTGAGCCAGAAAATCCTGTTTGTTTTTTTTTAATCTTCTATTGCTATCTTTTTGTGTGTGGTGACAGGAGATGGTGTGTATGTGTGTGTAACATGCCAAGTTTAGGTCTCTTACAGTCAGCTGTGGGCTTTACTTTTTGATGGGTCTCTTGCATTTCCTCTTCACATGCTCTCAGGTTCACAATTAGCCTTTTGCTCAGCAAGACCCGTCCCTGTCCCCCCCCCCCCCAACTATCTCATTTCCCATTTCTTGGTGGTGTTGGTGTGCTGCTTTGAACCAAGTGCGGCAGCAGCAGCAGGCTGTGGCGAGTGCTCCTTGAGCATTTTCTACCAAGTTACTGACAATGCCACTGGGCATGGATATTATTTGACTTCAGCTTCACCCATGGTCCTGATTTGAATCTTTGTAGAGCTGGAAGAGATCTCCTCATTCACCCTTTTACATCCCAGGAAAAGGATGACTCCAGAGGAGCCTTGAATAGATCAAGGCCTCATATGAGGGCAGCCAGGCTCCCGGCCAGCCTTCTGACCTGCTCCTCAGGGGCCCTTCCACTCGGCAGCTATGTCTGATGACTGGACAGTCCCTAGACTCAGCAGATGGTGGTCTGACACCAGAGGAGCAAAGCACCTGAGCGCTGACAGGCTCCCAGTCTTGTATGAAGAAGGGACAGGGCATGAGAAACTGGACATGAATTGAGAATATTCTAGCAACACCTGGTAATGAAGATGAATTCCCAAAAAGCCCCACGGAGGTCCCGATTATCCACATTTCACAGACGAAGAGCTAGGAACTTGCCAAGGACAGCTGTGAGCAGCCAGCACAGGCTGCTCCCAACCCTGTGATTATCAAAGCACCCGCTGGAATGGCCTGAACACGGTTAGCAATGTCCTACCTCAAGGCCTAGGCTTTTATCATGTCTCCTCACTCCCACATTTGTGCATACTTGCTCACTCTACAACCATCATTCAGTGAGAATGCTTGGGCTTGTTTAGCTCCCCCTGAGCTGCAGTCCACACCACTTTATGGTTCCTAATGGGCCGAGCCAGTCACGTTCTAAGTCCTCTGGGGCAAAGGCTCTGCCCTCCACCAACTACAGGGAGTCTTGTCTTGAAGATTCTGTGTTCTGATGCCCCAGTACTGTTATTTAGCACTGGTGTCCTCTAGAGCCTGGCCAGCATGTGGTAGGCAGTGCTGCACATCTGGGGTGAATAAAACTCCACCTGACAGAAAGGCTTAGTGAGCTGAGCCTGAGGCACACATGGGATTTCTGGAGAATTAAGAATCACGGACAGGCACCCATCATTATGTATGCCTCTTGTCCTGGGCTCACACACACATGGAATGGAGTCTAGACCCAGATTCCTTGATAATCAGGATGGAACTCTTTTCCTTTCACTTTCCTATGTAGCTGTCCATCTAGACCATCAGGGCCACCTCTCGGCATTGGCCAGATCCTGTAAGCATTTAAGGAGCTTCATGATCGAACACCTGCTCTCTTTGTCCATTGAGCCTGAAATGACTGCTCTGCTCCACCCCAGGAGCATCCCCGCCCCCCATAACAGGCTCCGGTCCTGTTGTGTATCTGTCACACATTTGGACCCTAGTGCTTTGTGCCTCACTGTGCAGATCTGAGTGCATAACCCAAGACCAGAAGAGGTGGTTGTGTGAAAGATGTGGCCTTGAGCTGTGTGCAGTCCTTACCTACAGGAAAAATCTGCTCTAGGTGGGTAGCCATTAGGCATTTGCATGCCTGAGTTCTCCATTTCTGGTTAGGAGTGGCCCAGGACTATTCAGTGTCCCCTTGCTGTTCAGTCTTTTCTCCTCACCACACAGTAACATCAATGGAGGCTTTAACTTTCAGTATGATGACTATGAAGGACACAACTCCCCAGGAGGAGAAAGCACTGTACCTGCCAGGCGAGGTGGCAGAGGGAGACCTTGCACAGTTCATCTTTGCATCTTTCTTCAGAATTACCAGCAGGTGCTGGCTTAGCACTGGGATCATCCGTGTGAGAGCACACAGCTGGGCCTGGCTTACCTACTGCTTGGGGAAAGGGCAATGACCTCTCCTGACCGGTTCACTCACTGCAGAGTGCAGAAGCAGTGTTCTGTATATGTACTCTCCCCGCCCTTTTTTTTTTTGGGGGGGGGGTCTGGTTGTGGGGCCTCAACTCTGGGTCTGGGCGCTGTCCCTCAGCTCTTCAGCTCAAGGCTAGCGCTCTACCACTTGAGCCACAGAGCCACTTCCGGCTTTTTTCTTTTTGCTTATGTGGTGCTGAGGAATCGAACCCAGGGCCTCAGGCATGCAAGGCAAGCGCTCTACCACTGAGCCACCTTCCCAGCCCCTCTCTTCGCCCTTTTTAAGAACTTCCTACGAAGCCCAGGCTAGCCTAGAACTTAGAATTCTCCTGCTTCAGCCTCCCAAGTGCTCGGATTACAGGTGTGCACCACCACATCAGGCTTTGCATCTCCTCCTTGCTCCCTTTTCTAAAACATTGGATTTAGATTGCTTAATCTGATCTTTCTATAACTTTTGTATTTTATTTCATTTTAGAAAAAGCCAACCTTTTTGCTACACATCTCAAAAGAGACAGACATAGCACAAAGAAGCTTAATAATCAGGAAGACCAGTGATTTCTCTTCCCAGCTTGTGAGTGGCCTACGCCTTTCTTTGCAGGTGTTCAGGGACTGATTCTTCTCCCCACCTCCACTTTGCGGAGGAGGAGAGAAACATGGTTAAACCTCTAACAAGAGCCAGGTGGTCTCAGAGTGACAAGAGTATCAGAACTTGCTGGGAAGGGCTCTTCTGAGAAAAGATAGGCTTAGGGCTTCCAGGGCTTTGGGGTATGTGTTCCCCAAAACTGGTAGGGCAGGGATGTGGAACTGTTATCCGCAGTGAATAAGCTGAGTTCCTTCTACCTTGTGGCCTTTCTTGTCCCTTCTCTGAACCTACTTTGTGGGAGAAGACAACACCCCACAAGGACCCCCATCCCCAGCTCTCAGCAGGTAGATTTTTCTATGGAAAAACACACTCAAGAATTCCCATTACGCTGTGGGGTGGGATGTTAGTGGCCTTGCAGAATTTTACCTTGCTTCAGCCCAGACCGAGCAGGCCAAGGCCAGCTTCCTCGCTGAGCCCCTGCAGCCTTGCTGAGAGCGGAGCAAGTGACTGGGCAGCTGGGCAGGGGCTGAAATGACAAACTGTGGCTCTTCTACAAATGTGGATGTTTATTTCAACAAAATGTGAAAAGAGTGCATTGAACTGAAGCTCCTTGCTCGTCAGGGCATGTGTCCATCGAATTCTCACTGACACGAGTGAAGGCTGCTTTGTGAACGACGTGAACAGATAATATGGCAATCTCAGCTCAAGCTAGTCTTGGTCAATACATCATTTATCCTCCTCCTGCCTCAGTAACCTTGCATGTGTAATGGGCTGTGGGAATATCAGATTGCTCATGTGCTGTGGCTCTGTCTGGCTTCTCCATATGAAAAACCCCTGTCTTGGGGATGGGAGAGTAGGCACTGCGGGGTTCTGGAGAGGAAACTTATTTCTTTAATGTGTCATCATTTGGTGGGCCAGGGGAGCTAAATGAGCAGAGCCCACTCCACCTCTGAAGAAATGCCAGGCGCCTCCTGGGGAGTGGATGCTTTAGGCTCACCCATGGCTATGTGGATTTGATCATTTGATGCATTTGCATCAAGTGTGGAGGTGAGAGATCTAGGCAGGGATGAGTCCTATCCTTATCTACTAGGAAAGCAAGAACATAGCAGGGGTGAACACTGCCCCCACCATCTTTTCTTGCCCTTCTTTGAAGGTGCGGAACTGCTGTACTCTGAACTCAGGGGCAGGTGGAGGCCGACTCCTGGGCATCAGCTGCACTTCTGCCATGGCTGAGGAGGCCCACTCATTCTCCGTGAGGGCTCGCTCTCATGCATCCACTCCAGGATAAAGGCTCCGAGCTGAAGTCTTCATTCCACTGCTTCTATGGCATCTTAGTGATTTCCTCCTTGGTTTTCAGTGCCAAATGCAATTAGCTGCACTGTAGGAGCCGGATGCTACACCAGCCCGATCACCTGCCACTCTTGCTTTAGGCATACCAACAGGGGAATCAGTAAGCTCCTTTGTTAGATAAAGTGGTTGTTGAAAATAAGCTCTCTCCCCCACCCCTGAGGAGGCCCCTGCTACTGGCCCGGAGGGGCCAGAAAGCCTGGCAGACATGAGCACCATGACTGAGGTGTGAGGGTCTTAAGGGCGTGTGGGCTGTGTTCCTGAGAACCTCTACACACCAGGAAGGCCGTTGCCCGGACCTCGGAGCACAGCTGTCACCAGGATCCTGTGGGCAGCTGGGGGAGATCTGCCATACCTGCTGCCTGTGTACATTCTGGAAAGGGGCAAATCCCAGGGCCGGGGGAGCTGCCCTGGAACAGGGTAAGTGACTCCCTAGGCACTGTGAGTCTTCGTGACCAGCAAAGTTCCAGGCTTCACGACCTTCCAGTTCCTAAGAGGAGACTTCTCTTTTCATGTCCTACTCTTTTTCTTGTGTCCTACTCCCTTTGTGGCATAAGTTTCTATCACTGATAGAAAAGAGAGCCAGCTCCTCCGGCTAGGCCTCCACCAGTTCAGGCTACTGCATGGCGCAGGGGCGCTCACACACCGGCCTGAGTTCTTAGTGACAAGCAGGGTGGTATGTCATCTGTCCGTGAGCACTAAGATGTCATCTCAAGGAGGAGGTCCACAAATCAAGAACCATAAGTCAGTCTATTTTTGGTCTGCTTTTCTGGTCATGGCTTTCCCTCATCTTTGAATTCTCATGGGACTTGCATTAGACCTTGTGCTCTTAATATTTCCTTGTCAACAGAGATCTTGGTGTGGTTAAACAGGGACTGGTTCCTCTCCAGTGCCCGGTGTGTGCCGGGCTATAGGGGGTATGAACGATGGATTCGATGTCTCCTCTTCTCCTCTGTCTGCCCCAGCCCTCCTCTGCTGCCTATGGCTGCGGCTCATGGGGCAGGGGGGCGGCTGATGCTTGCAAACTGTTCACATGGTCCTGTGCTGGGGCTTAGGGGCTGGCAGGACAAGAAAGGCAGCAGCCCTGCTTTTGTAAGACCTCAAGGTACATGCTTGTACCCTTCATTGCCTTCTCAGCCCTGTGCAGGGAGAGAGGACTGTCATTTCAGCTGGAGTAATAAATACTGAATGGTGTAGGTTGACCAGGCCTTTGTGGTCCTGGGTACCAGATGTCACATATAACCCGAAACACTCAAGGGGAAGAAAACACCACATGGAATCCAGTGCGCCTTCCCATTACAGTGGTTTCCATTGTGCGGGGCAGCTCTAGTCCTTTTCTCCAGACAGGGCAGGGGCTGGGTGGGGAGCTTGTCCTACGTAGAAGGAGAATCCATTGTGGAAAGGATCCGGACGACTTCCGCTCGCTGAGTGGGTGAGATGTGCTGAGTCATGTGGACAATGGAATCCATGGCAACCTCTGGATTGGCCTGCACCAAGCTGGAGAAGAAGGTTGGGATGGTAAAGAACAGAGACAAGCATAAGAGTCTTGTCAGGCAGCTTTAAGATCCACCGATGGACATGCTACCATGGCCTCATCTCATTCTTTCCATATTAAAAATGTTCCTAGCAGCCACTGTGTAGTACAAATGAACCAGAAGGTTCATTTGTACTACAAATGTCCAAGTACAAATGTCCAAAAGGGTAACCAGTGGCTCAAACCTCTAATCCTAGCTACTCAGGAGGCTGAAATCTGAGGCTCGTGCTTCAAAGCCAACTGGGGCAAAGTCCGTGAGACTCTTATCTCCAATTAACCACACAAACAATTCAGGAAGCAGAGCTGTGGCTCCAGTGGTAGAGTATCAGTCTGAGTGAAAAAGCCAAGGGGCAGCACCCAATGACCTGAGTTCAAGCTCCCAGACTGGCACAAAAGAGGGGTACTGACAGTGGAAACTACAGGAAAGGGCACTCTGACACCAATAGAAGAATAAAAGTGAATTACAAACTAGTGAAAACTAGATACATCAGTTCACACTAATGAATATAACAAGTGAATTGGGGAGGATGGAGGATTTGTGGTTGTAGGGTTTGAGTGGTGATCATAACAGGAGTTAAAGTTTTCATCAAGTTACAGAGTCCAAAGTTATTGACTGGCTCAAGTAAGAGTTATCAGTGGGTGCTAAGAAACTTCTATGGGAAGTAATATCAAGTATGCAAATCAGTACTTATACAGAGACATTGAGTACCACTTTGACCAGGAGGTGGAACTCACTAACTACTTGAGCCACAGTGCCATTTTCGGTCTCTTCTGCTTATGTGGTGCTGAGGAATTGAACCCAGGGCCTCATGAATGCAAGGCAAGTGCTCTACCACTGAGCTACCTTCTCAGTCTTACTTTTAGATGCAAGTTTTTAATATTACTAACGTTGATTTTTACCATTGTTATTGTGAGAATATTCTTGTTCCTGGAGTGAGCATACAAGTGATAAATGGGGTAAAACATAAGCAACAAGTAAAGCTGGTGCAGATATATAAGCTGTTAACACTTTTACATAAGGGAAATATTTCCAAGCTGGGCACCAGTGGTTCATGTCTGATCCTAGGTACTCAGGAGGCTGAGATCTGAGGATTGAGGTTCAAAGCCAGCCAGGACAGGAAAGTCCATGGGACTCTTATCTCCAATTAACCACAGAAAACTGGAAGAGGCTCAAGTGGTAGAATGCTAGCTTTGAGCTGAAGAGCTCAGGGACAGCCCCCAGGCCCAGAGTTCAAGCCCTACGACCGACCCAAAAAAACCCCCCAAAACATAAGGGAAATATTTTCAAATAGTGTTATTTTTTCTGTGGTGCTAGGGATCCAACCTATAGGTTAGGTAAGTACTCTACCACTGAGCTACATCCTCAGTCTTCCAAATAGTTTTAGCTACCACCCAGTCAGCTTTCCTTCCTCCCAGAATAGTTCACCCAGTGTGATAATCTCTGTTCAGAGTGGGCGTCAAGCTGAGAAGCCCCCTGAGGACCAGGCTGGGGAAGAACCATAAGGAACGGTGCCTCAGGGATGTATTTGTAGGTCAGTTTCAGATAGCAAGAGGCCACAAAGTTGGAGGAAGCATCATCACCTCATGGTCTGCGCCAAACTTTTCTTTGTGTGTTAGTGTGCACCAGTCCTAGGACTTGAACTTAGGATCTGGGGACTGTGCCTGAGCTTAAGGTTAGTGCTCTACCACTTGAACCACAGTTCCACTTCTGACTTTTTTTGGGAAGTTTGTTGGAGAAGAGAGTCTCATGAGCTTCTGCCCAGGCTGGCTTCCAACCCTGATCCTCAGATCTCAGCCTCCTGAGTAGCTAGGATTACAGGCAGGCAAGAGCCTGGCCGTGCCAATGTTTTAATTCCAAACGAATTAGTCCCCTAGTGTGGAGAGGCTCTACTGCGGGGCGCACCTGCGGATCTGCTTGAGGACGTAGTCTCTGCTGATGTACTTGATGTTCTCCTCTATCACCGAGCGGGCACCATCTTCCTCTGTCAGCTGTTTCTCCAGCCACTCCACCAGATCCTTATTATTGTCCCAAATATAGGCCTGTAAACAGATGAGCTGGGGTCAGGCATGGACACCTGGCTGCTCAGTACTGGAAAGTTCACTCCCAAGACCTGTACAAATCTCCTTAACAGTTGGCACTGGAGGAAGAGAGGATAAACCTCCCCCAGGGACCTGGCCTCATCTCCCTTTGATTTGTGCAGATGTTTTCCTAGTGCACCACACTCTTGCCAGCCTATGCCACAAAAGCCCAATTGAGTAAAGTGACTGGGGGAGGGGAGAGGAGTTTGATGTCTCGGGCCCCAGCAAGGTCTGGCAGATTCCCCTAGGCTGGGAATCCTCTGTCGTTGTTACCCGCTTTTATGGAGCCACCGAGGGAGGACTAATGTCAGTGTGGTTTTGCTGCTATAGTTATGTAGCCACCAGGGCAGAAAGCAACCCTATTTTATTAGCTATGAGAGTATTCAAAAGGGTCAAGAAGTCGACAGCCCTGAAAGTCTCAACCACCCACCTCTCACCTCCTTTTTTTCAAGATCATTTAGCTGAGTATTTCCTAGGTAGTTGACTACATAATAATTCAGGAGTGTGTTAGAAGCCTAATAGCCTTCTCCTTGCTCTCTCCTCCTCTCATTTTCTTTACAAATCATTTAGGAATCGTTTTGTTAATGGTTTCCGGAAAACCAAGTACCACCATTAGGGCTCATTCATATTTATGTCATTTTGTTTGGGTAATTAAACACAAAGCTCGTCATTTAAAGGTGCGCTATCCTTCTCTGTTATCACTAACGAAGCCAAAGTCAGAATGACAATGAGTTCGGTGCTGTAATTTATGAGGTGGGTGCACTAGGGACTCTCAGGGGCTGGGGGAATACAGAAAACCCAGGGCCTGGGAGGTACAGAGGAAATGTTCTCAGTTTACCTGACAGGCATCCAGCGGCAAGAAACAAAGCTGTATTCTAACCTATTCCATGCCTTTGAAAAACAGTTTCTTTTCAGACATCTTTTCCCTAACTTAGCTGGTGACTTGGCTAGCTGTGAGTAGTTATGATGAGACATTTCATTGACTTCTATGCTTCTGAAAAACCCTTCAGGCATTCTTCACACGGGAAGGGTAGGGATCCCTGGGACTAAGCATTAACAGTGAGCTTTGGCTGCCTCTCAATTTGCCCCATCTCTGTCATCAGCAGTAGGTCTAAGGTCACTGCAACGCGCCTGGCAGGGCAGTGTTCGCCACAGCAAGCCCCACTGTACATGCAGAGGTGGGTGTAGCACTTTCCATACACAACTTGTCTTCATGTATATGGCTCACCTAGGGATGGAAACACCTGGGCTCCAACTAGTGCCACTTAAACTTTAGCATTTCCTTCACTGGTAATTTAGGCTTCTCTATGGTTTGGGGACATATACCTTCCTCAGAATTGTGAAGGATGAAAAACTGCTTCTTGGATTTCAGAATGGGGAAAAAAAACACAAAACAAAACCCAAAAACTAACCAGATTTGCCCAAGAATCCCAAAGCCTTTAGTTTAGGAGAATATTTAATACTCTTATTAATCATTTTTAATCCGTTTGCTTTTAATTAAGAAACAGCATGATGCTTTCCTATCAACATATGCCAGGGAGCAGATTAATTGTGGCTTAAGATAACTCTCCTTGATTGGTGTAATGTATTAGCTAACGAGATGCCTGCTTCTAATGATGCTCAGACACTACACTAGAAAGCCAGCTACCCTCTAGAGAAAACTCTTGTGTCTTGCTCTCCTGCAGTCACTAAGTTTGATAGGAGTTTAAACATTTAAAAAGTTCCCAGACAAGACTACGGCAACACATTCTAAGTTTCACAGTTAACTGAAAACATGGACTCTGCATATAAAAGATCTGATATTTACTCAAAGCACAACTAGATGACAACCACAATACCCAACCTCAACAGAGTGTAGACTAGTTGTAGCTCAGGGTAGGCAAAGGTGTCATGATTCCTAATCAATTGCATTTTTATCAAGAGTAAACAAATTTACGTACCCACAATGCCACTGGTTTGCCTCAGCAGACCTGGGAAGACTAATAGACTGTTCTGAGTTAATTTGCTACCTTCCATTAGGCTGTGGAGGTTATAGGTCCTGGCCTGCCTTTCTAGGGGAGTTGCAAGACTCATTCCAGCCACCCAAAGGATAGGCCGACTCTATTTCCAGAGAAAAAGGCATTGTTTTTCTCCTTATAGTGGTGAGAATGTGGCTGATAATTCCCAGCATCCAGTGTGGATTTTAAACAGGTGTAGAGACTGAGCTGTTCATCTTATGATAGGCCACGATACACTTCACCTGCCTGATAACTCTACCATCAGATAATACCAATCACATCACAACCCTGCCTGCTCTACATGTTCAACAGACATTCTATCAGTGGGTAATATTTCAGGCACCACTCGGCCTCACTAATTGTATGTAGTAATTAGTCTATATTACAAAATCTAAATGAACTATTTGGGAAGTTTCATTTTAAACATACAGAATTGCTGCCAAACCCTTTATGGGCAATGCACAATAGGAACAGGGAGTAGGAATCAGGGCAGTACCTGTAGCTCCCAATTTCCATGCCCTACAAACAACTCCCCTGGGAAGCTGCTTAGAGTCACTGCCTGCCAGGGGTTCTTTCCAGCTCTGACTTAGATTTCTAGGAGCCAACTACCCAGTTGGGTGGGATGTGACACACCTCCCAGAATCAATGAAATTTTGTAAAGACATTTTCAATACGTCTAAAAATACAAGTTTAAGATATGTCCAAAGGAAGCCCAGGAAACAATGTTTTTGTTTTTTTTTTCTCAGAGGCTGTAGAATATAACACCAAAAGGCCTCATGAGCCCAAATGGCTTGCTGAACCCTCTTGAGAGGTACCCAATCAGTTCCACACTGGCAAGAAGGACCTACCTAGTTCTGCCTTTACCCTTACTCTCTGCTCTTGTAGAAGTACGTGAGACTTGTAGGTAGCTTTAAGGACAGTGAATACCAAGTGCTTTTCCTCTATTACCCTCACAAGGGCCTCCCTTGTGCATTTATTCTCTTTGGAAATTCAGAATAAGAGGGAGTAAGGCTACTGGACAGTAGCTGTGGGAACCTTTGCAGAGCTAAGCAAGCACCTCTCCTAACAGTTCTGGTGTTCAGGAGCCAACCCTGGCTTATCAATATACCTTTAACTCCTAGCCGAGGTTATTTTTTTAACTTCTAACATGCTGGGCTGAAGGCAATGTGCTTCATGCTTTATTTCATTTCAGTTCACTGAAGCCTATTGTGTCATAAACATCATCCTCATTTTATAAATGAGGAAATGGAAGGAAATGGAAGCTTAAAAAAGATGCCTATGCCAGTAAGTACAAAGCTGATATCCCAAAAGTTTATGGAATTCTAAACCCCACATTTTCAGTGTTCCAAGAAGAGTCCTAATCTCAACTTTTACTGTTAAGAGTTTTGGGATAGCAAATCAATTGGCCTATTTGCAAAACCACATACTTCAAATTGTGTGAGCTAGCAATCAACACAGGAAACATGCACATGAAACCAGTGTGTTCTGTGTTCTTACAATCCAATTCAAACGACACTTTTTTTTTTTTCCCAGGGAGCTGCAGTGCTGCTTTGCTTCTGCCTGCAGTGAAACTATGAACCATAAACTCAACTATTTCCTACAAAAGGACTGTCCCAGTGGACTCAAACAGAATTCTGTAACTCATGGTAACAGATACTGCTAAGGGAAACAAAAGAATTATATTGCTCAGTTATAGAATATCCTACTGCCTCCAATTTTCTGTCCTGGAAATCCTCCCCCCCCTTTTTTTCAGCATTAAGATTAAGAAAACAAATTCACTGGGGTCAAAGAACACAAAAGCACAGCTTGCAGATGCCTATCCTGACATGTCTTTCCTTACTAGTAACCACAATGAGGATCAGAGGGTCACTTCTTGGTGTAAAGTCATAGTCTAGTCTCAGCTCATCTTTGTACTTGAGAGATGGATCTGGGGCTGTTTGAAGAGTTAAAAAAATAGGAATAGGTGGTTTTAAGCCATTTCCTAATATCAAGCAGCTTTGGTGTCAGCCCTTCAGAAGCAGCACATGGGCTTCTGAACACTGCAACACTTTCTTCTCTCAAGGGCGCTGAAGATTTTATCACCCACCCCACACTGACTAGGTCCTGCTGAGCCTGCACAATGTAGAAGGAGGTTTCAAAGCCACACACCCTGACTTTACAGGATCTGTCGTCCTTCCTTTCCCTCCTTCTGTCCCCTGGAACGAAAAGCTCATGAGTACGTGCTTTGTAGTCAGAGGCAAGGGAAATAATCTCAGTTCTCGGGTAAAGTTGGTCCCCAGTGTTTGGACAACTCCTTTCTGAACTGCGGGGCTGGGAGGTGTCTTGTACACTTAAGTTCCAGCCAGGAGCCTATGCTCTTAGTGCTCTCTCCTTTGAGGAGAGATCCAGCCAGAAGCCTATGCTCTTAGTGCTCTCTCCTTTGAGGAGAGATAACAATGACCTGTTTCTTCAGACACACTAGTCTCCTGGGAGCAGGATGCTAAGGAGAAAGTGAGGGGCCTAGCTCCTCACTTTACGCTTGGAGGGAAGCTATTCCTTCTCCTCATCCTTGAGCCCACTGAGGCTGTGCATGTCTATTAGTAACTAATGTGGTAGGAAGGCGTGTGGGCCACATATACACACACACTCCATTTACCTAGCTGGCCACTCTTAACTAGAGAACAACCTCTTATTTTACACTTGCGTGACTTTCAATGCCAACTTCCACTGGAAGCTGCCAGTAGCCACTGACAAAATTGTCTCAGTCAATTATGATACCATGGCCTGACCTTAACCTGAACCAAATGTTGGAGAATGCTGTGTTCCCTTGCTGCATATCTGAGATATTTATCCAAAATAGCTTTTCAGTCATAAAGAACTCGGGCAGACTTAACACAAAGGTGAATCTCTGAAGTATCCTACTTTACTAGCTTTAAAACTACCGCTGAATCCTTGGTGCTCCTTTCTGAGAACAATTAGCTGAGACTTCAAGCAACACTTTCCAAAAAGGCTAAAGTGACTCTTCATAGGACAGGACCTTCATGCTACCACCACCAGCCTCCATCAAGACCATCATGTCATTTTCAGAAAGATAGACAAATAAACTTTGAGCCTCTATTACCACTAATTCTGATAAATATATGTATCTGTATACACACACACACATGCATACACATACATAGTGTCAATGCTGCACATACATTCTCTTTCCCTCCTTTCCTCTCACTCCCCTGCCTCCCTCTCCTAGGAGCAAAGACAGGTGCTCTTGCTCTGTTATGTCACCCTGTCCTGTCTCATCCCAGCCCAAGAGCAAGTATCTCAATGAGATCACGGCTGCAAGGCTCAAGCACTTTCCATGAGATCACCCTGAGACTATGGCAGGTGCATAGTTTCTTCCTTCAACCTCTGACTTGAAATCAGATCTTCAGTTGTGGTCCTAGCATCCTCCTCTGTATTACATTATAGTACTATCATGTCCTATTAGGCCTCCTGCTTCTACTCCCTTTGAGTCCATCCTCCACAGCTCCCCAAGTGGTGTTTATAAAAGAGAAATCCGAAAATGTTACCCTGCTGCTAACAATACTCTAGTGACTTCCACAGATCTCAAGACCAAGTCCAGAGCCCTTGGCGGCTTACAGAGCCTTATGCAAATTAGGTCTCTTCCCTTTACTTATTGGCACCCAATCTCTGAGTCATCTTGAAAGATTTGCAGTTCCTTGGATGCATGCTGCTTTTGCTATTATGCCTTGGAACATACTATTTCTTCTGCCTGACACATTCACTCTTTCCCTGCCCCCACAATCCAATCTTTTCTTCACATTTGTTCCCACTTTGTTTTTGTCTCTGCTAAGATACCACTTCCTCCAGAAGTCTCCCTCCTCCTTTCCCAAGTTTGGGTATCTGAGCTCCATGCTCGGTAACTCTGCTCCTTGCTGAGTTTAGCCCCAGCCACACTGTTGTGCAGGACCAATGACTTTCTCTTTTACTGCCATGTCTCCAAGGCCTAGTGCAGTATCTGAGTTTGCTAAATGACTGTGTGAGCTGAAAATATGTTCTGTGATGTCGCACATGTTTCTGGGCTAAGATTCAGCTTAGAGTCTAGGCTCCCCCCACTTGTGCCCCTGGAAGCATGTGGATTTTTAGGTGACAAGCCTCAGGTGGGGTGAGAAGCAATAACTACCTACCTTCACTGTTCCTTCCACTTCTACAAACCAACGTCTCAACATGGCCTGGATTTGGCCATCAGTCAGCTCGGGGTTGGCATTGTGGATTTTCTTCTTGACTAGATCCTCCAGCAGGAGACGCCTCAGCCGCCAGTAAAAGAAGGTACGAGATGTTTTCCAATCTAGGATGTCCTACAGGCAGATAAGAATAAGCTTAGTCAGCTGGGCTTTACGGCTCATGCCTATAATCCTAGCTACTTAGGAGGCTGAGATATGAAGATCGTGGTTCAAAGCCAGACTAGGCAGGAAAGTCTGAGAGACTCTTCTCTCCATTTAATCACCAAAAAACTGGAAGTTGCGCTGTGGCTCCAAGTGGTAGAGAGCTAGCCTTGAGCAGAACAGCTCAGGCACAGTGCCCAGGCCCAAGTTCAAGCCCCATGACCAACAACCAAAAAAAGAATTGGTCACCTCAGCCCTGATCACTGCTCAGCACTCAGCCTGAGGGAACTACAGACAAAACTGTGCTCTGACTCGAGGTGTAGCTTGAGTGATAGCATATAATGCCCTGCATTCAAACCCTAGTCTTTCCCAATTCCTATTTTCTAGGCAAGCCCTTCACAGACTCCAGAGCCAGCCATGAGCTCTCGTCACCTTCAGCTGCCCCCCAACTACAACTATTCTGCAGGCCACAGCACTGTGGCCAGCCTCAGACTCAGCATACATTCCCTCCATAATGATTGAGGTTCTAGGGGAAGAAAGCCAGAGTGGAAGGAGGTATCTTTGAGCATATGGCTCAAACAACTTGAATGCAGATCAAAAGTGAATCAGCTACTATTGGAACCTCGACACTGCAGGAATCCACCTGGGCATCTGTCACCAATAAAGGCATGTGTAACTCGGTTTCCCCCTTAGTAAAATGGAGTCTGCTTCCTAAGGAGTCTATGGAAACCTAAGTCACAATTGTTTTCAAGCTGATAATAGATGTATAAAACAGGAAAAACAACTTTGAAATGGCTTTGTCTATACAAGCTGTCTTCATCGGCCTTAATGGCCCCCTGCTTGTGGGCCTGTGTACATGACAAACTCATGGGTCTTTGACAATTCTGAGGAGAGGCACCATGACACTTACGTTAATAACACCCTTTTCCTGCATCCGGCCTGGTGTGTCGTGCAAGTCAGCAAACTGTACAGCTACCTGATGGTAAATGGGAATTAGAAATTCCTCCCGCTCCTTCATCTTGTTCTCCAGCTCCTTCCGCTCAGCTGAGCTCAGCTCTGGGGTGCCTGCAATTAGATAAAGCTGCCTGTCACACCTGGTGGTGACTAGGAATCTCAGCACAGAAGCAACCATCGTTCTGGTAGGCTTCCCTCTGGAGCCAGCTCTTGGCCGACTTCACATCTCTTTGGTGCATGACAGGACTCTGTGAGCTATCAGTCCTGTCCTTCCCTCGCCATGGGGAGCCCACATGTCCTCTTTTCCTGTGGAGGTCATTGGTAGGAAAGCAGTGATGGCAGCTCTGCCTTCCCAGGTAGGAGAAACACCACCTAGAGGCCTGAACCTCGAATCAGCTTGCTACCTGCCCACAAGGCAGGGCTGCTATACATCACCCAATTACCAGTGTTAAAGCAGCTGGACTAGTCTAGGTGAGGGATGTGGTGGGAGAGCTACCCCTATGCGGGGCACAAACTTGCAGTTCTGGTTTCTCTATGTCCACACCAGTCATCTGTCAAACTGGTGAGCCCCTGACTGTAATATTGCAAACTTCAGTTCCTCACAGGTTCTAATGTTGGGTTTGGAATCCAATCTAGATTAGAGCTAGATCCAAGTGTCTGTGTCAGCTCAGTGGATCAGTTCTTGCTCGCCCACCTAGGCTGCAAACAGCTGAGCCAATCACTGCCTAAGGTGACAGAGATCTTCTGGTTCTTGGGCTAAGAGAAAAAGAAGAGTAAAAAAGGCAAAGGTATCTCTGCCCCCGCCATGCGTGCCACAGAGAATGTAAGCATACTATACCTTCACTTAACAGAGAAGAAACTAGAATTCTTATAACAAGGAGAACCCCTCCCCCAGTCAATTGAGTTCTAGTAGAGGTGTTGCTATATTGTACTTTCCTTCCTAATTGCTTTCAAAATAGAATCTGCAATCAATACTGAAAATTTAACTGCCTGCCTAGTAAGGAAAAATAAGTGTAGCTGAAGGAGCAGTGGGTGACTGTCCCTGGTGTTGGGAACAATCTGATGTGCTTTGTTGCCAAAGCTGACAAATACATGAGCTCAGGTGTTGGGATGCAGAATAGAAAGCTCTATTTCAGTCATGCCTGTCTGAAAACAGGCCTTGCTCTTTATGCTACTATGTATCATAAGCCATAAACAGCCTTGGGCTGCTGAATGAGCCGAGCAGTAAGTAGTATACATAAACGCATGTTAACAGACCAGGGATGTAACTATAGCACCTAGGGTTTCCTTTGCCTTTTTCAGTATGAGACGGAAACTCAAACTCGGCTCCTGATGCTTTGGCTTACTGGCTAATGCTCTAGCAACTGTGCCATGCCTCTGACCCCATGTTTTTTTTTTCCTTTTCAGTGCCATATTGGGGCTTGAACTCATGGCCTAGGCTGGCTTCAATCTACAATCCTCAGATCTTGGCCTCCTGAGTAGCTAGAATTACATATGTGAGCCACTGGCAACTGACTCTAGTTTTGTTATTTTTATTATTTGGTCAAAGCTAGCCCCAGCAGGAAAGTCTGTGAGACTCTTTTGGTCGTGGGGCTTGAACTCTGGGCCTGGGCACTGACCCTCAGCTCTTTAGCTCAAGGTTAGTGCTCTACCACTTGAGCCACAGAGCCACTTCTGGTTTTCTGGTGGTTTGTTGGAGTTAAGAGTCTCACGGAGGGCTGGGAAGGTGGCTCAGTGGTAGAGTGCTTGCTTTGTATGCATGAGGCCCTGGGTTTGATTCCTCAGCACCACATAAGCAGAAAAAACCGAAAGTAGCACTGTAGCTCAAGTGGTAGAGTGCTAGCTTGAGCTGAGGGACAGTGCCTAGGCCCAGAGTTCGGGCCCCATGACCGACCAAAAAAAAAAAAAAAAGTGTCTTACAGACTTTCCTGCAAGGGCTAGCTTTGAAGCATGATCCTCAGATCTCAGCCTCCTGAGTAGCTAGGGTTACAGGTGTGTGCCACTGGCGCCCGGCTTCTAGTTTCATTTTTATAGTTGTTTTTGGATGCCCAAATTCTACTCCTGACTCCTCTCTCTTAAACAATCAGTATTTTCAATATTGGGCCATGGTGTCACTTGTAGTAGTGAGTGACACCATGACCCTCTCCTATGAGTGGGCCTGCCTAGAAAAATGGGTGGAAGCTGACAGTATCTTTTTAAATTTTTTTTTCAGTTGGTTGGGGGGCTTGAACTCAGCACCTGGTGCTGTCCCTGAGCTCTTTTGCTCAAGGTTAGTGTTCTACCACTTTGAGCCACAGTGCTACTTCTGGTTTTCTGTTGGTAAACTGGAGATAAAGAGTCTCATCATTTTTTTGCCCAGACTGGCTTTGAACTGCAATCCCTAGATCTCAGCCTCCTGAGTAGCTAGGATTATAGGTATGAGTCACCAGCACTTGCCTTAATGGTATTTTTTACAATGATTTTCTTAGAATGTCTGTGACAGTGCAACTAACACTGTTTTGCTTCCATTGGAAATAACTTAGAAGAAATGGTGACTCCAGGGATATGGTATGGAAAATGTGAGATAAGCTTGGAACATGTGACAAAATCTAAAATAGCACCTGAGATGGTGTTACTTTATGTTAGCTGTTAGAAGGATATAGGAGCCAGTTTGAAGGCGTCCCACTGGCCAAATCTAAGACACCAAAGTAAGTGATACTTATTAGAATATTTATGGAATAAAATAAGAATCTGTCATGATATAAATCCATCTTGATATAAATAATTAAATGGGGGGAAAATGGAAAAGGAATGTTTTCCCCTCCAGCAGAGTAATAATTAGAATGTAGAAGGAATGATGAAATTATAAAATCACCATTTTATAACCATTATAATAATTGATTCTGCCAAGAAGCATCAATAGGTACTAAAACTAGTGGCTTAAAAGTTTTTTGGGGATGGAGCTGGGAAGGTGGCTCAGTGGTAGAGCACTTGCCTTGCATGCCTGAGGCCCTTGGTTTCATTCCTCAGCACCACATAAGAAAAAAGCCGGAAGTAGCGCTGTGGCTCAAGTGGTAGAGCCCTAGCCTTGAGCTGAAGAGCTGAGGGACAGCGCCCAGGCCCAGAGTTCAGGCCCCACGACCGGACCAAACAACAACAACAACAAAAAACCCAAAAGTTTTTTGGGGAGTCAGGTGCCAGCGGCTCATGCCTGTAACCATAGCTACTCAGAAAGCTGAGATCTGAGGATCATGGTTCAAAGCCAGCCAGGCATTAAAGTCTGTAAGACTCCTATCTCTGATTAACCACCAGAAAATGGGAAGTGGTGTTGTGGCTCAAAGCAGTCGAGTGCTAGCTTTGAGTGAAAAAGCTCATGGACAGTGCCCAGGCCCTGAGTTCCAGGCCCATGACTGGCAAAAAATAAAAATTAGAAAAAAAGCTTGGGGGCTGAGAAGGTGGCTCAATGGTAGAGTGCTTGCTTTGCATGCATGAGGCCCTGGGTTCAATTCCTCAGCACCATATAAGAAAAAAGCAGGAAGTGGCGCTGTGGCTCAAGTGGTAGAGCGCTAGCCTTGAGCTGAAGAGCTGAGGGACAGCGCCCAGGACCAGAGTTCAGGCCCCACGACCGGACCCCCACCCCCCAACAACAACAAAAAAAGTTTGTTGGGGAACAGAATTTTCACAAAGTCTCAGAGTATCTTTTAACAAAGTGCCAATTACCAAGGGGAAAATGATGACTTTATAGTAGATGAACCTAGTGAACAAAACTACAAATAAAGTGACCATCACTAGTGATAGGACAGACAGGCATTTTGTGCCTGTGTTAGATGTACTGAGAAGGGCAGAATAGTACTTATACAATATCCTACAAAAAAACCCACAGATCTGAGTCTAACTACAGGGAAATACAAGACAAACACAAATGATGAACATGCTACAAAACTGATCTGTACTCTAAATGAAAGATTAAGAAAGGTTGAAGAATTATTCCAGTTAAAAGGAGACAGAAAATACATATCAGGGCTGGAATGTAGTTCAAGTAGGTAGAGAACAAGCCTACCAAGTACAAGGCAATTTTAATATGACTCATGAATTTGTGTATTGTACCCATGTTTGTGGTTGTGCTTTGATAAATACGTTGTAGTTATACAAGAGAAAGTCTATGTTCTTAGAAATAGTAAACAGACAAAAGACCATGATGTCTACAGATGACTAATAATTCAAATTAGACATATATAGGTGTGGAGCCGTGAGAGTGTACACACAAATGTGTGTGAGCAAATGATAAAGTGCCTGGGACAAGATGGTAACACTAGATAAACTGAGAAAAAAAAGCAGACATTTTTTGTATTATTTCATAATTGTTTTGTGAAGTTATATCAAATGCAAAGCTTGCCCAGCTCAAAAGATAGTTTTGCTTAGCTATCTAATACATATAGTCAACAAACCATGCTAATATTGTTAGGGAACTGAGTACCATTCTAGGTGGTTTAAATTTGTTAAGTCATTCATTTCATCTTCACAAGAACCTTACAGGGATGGTATTTGCAGGTAAGGAAAGTGAGATGCTAAGAATTTATGTAACTTATGGAAAGTTACAAACTAAGAAAGCGACAAGTGTCAGGACTCAACTGCATTAGTTTGACCCCCAAAGCTTTTGAACTCCGTCATGCTGTCTCTTCTTGCTTATGGGGCAGCAGACCAGTGCTTCAGTAACATCAATTTTACTTCAGCAAGGCTAAGTGGTGATAGCAGTATGCTACTAATAAAGCTGAAGCTTGGTCTGAGTACCACTGGATAACTAAGATCAGGACAAGCTCTCCAGTAATTCCTACCCACATTATAGGTTGGATACAATGTTCAAGGCAAGTCTAAAATTTTAAGCAGGTAAAATCACAGCCTTGCCAAGGCCTAGGGATGGCAGGTGTGTGGACATGGACAGAAGGGAGTTCTAGACCCTTTAAACCTTTTCCTCTGGGAAAACAACCAACACTGTGCTTGAATGCACATATATCTCTATGTGGGCCATATAGGAAGACACCATTTACTGAGCATTTACTGTGCATCAGGTACCGCACTCAAACCTTTCAGGATCACGCACCTCATGGGTCGGCATTCACAACTCAGATGTA